CAATTTGGATTAAACTCCCATAATGCACTGTACATATGCTCAGTAGACCAAAATGTGAATTTGGATTAAACTCCCATAATGCATTGTACATATGCTCAGTAGAGCAAAATGGGAATTTGGATTAAACTCCCATAATGCACTGTACATATGCTCAGTAGAGCAAAATGTGAATTTGGATTAAACTCCCATAATGCATTGTACATATGCTCAGTAGAGCAAAATGTGAATTTGGATTGTACTCCCACAATGCATTGTACATATGCTCAGTAGAGCAAAATGTGAATTTGGATTAAACTCCCATAATGCATTGTACATATGCTCAGTAGAGCAATATGTGAATTTGGATTAAACTTTCATAATATATTGTACATGTGCTCAGTAGAGAAAAAATGTGAATTTGGATTGTACTCCCATAATGCATTGTACATATGCTCAGTAGAGCAAAATGTGAATTTGGATTGTACTCCCATAATGCATTGTACATATGCTCAGTAAAGCAAAATGAGAATTTGGATTGTACTTCCATAATGCATTGTACATATGCTCAGTAGAGCAAAATGTGAATTTGGATTGAACTCCCATAATGCATTGTACATATGCTCAGTAGAGCAAAATGTGAATTTGGAGTAAACTCCGATAATGCATTGTAGATATGCTCAGTAGAGCAAAATGTGAATTTGGATTAAACTCCCATAATGCATTGTATATATGCTCAGTAGAGCAAAATGTGAATTTGGATTAAACTATCAAAAAAGGATGCACCAATGCTTCTACTATATCTAGGGTAATGAGATTATTTTATCATAATCTGTTGTTAAATTCACATTCCAATTATACAGGAATATATATGAATTTGTGTGTGCCACTTGGAAGCCATTCTAAGATTAAACAAACCAGCAATTTACGGCAATCTAGGCAGTTTGGGTGTGGTAAAACAGCATCTAATAATCAAGCAGTTAGGGGGACTGGTGATGACAATATTATGACTCACCAGTGTAAGCTGGCAACAGTTGTACACAAAAAAAACAATGCATACATCACATGCATCACCTGGTATGTGACTCAAAGCTTTTAATGTATAAACACACATTTGCATAATCTTATTGTGTAATGGTGGCTCACCAAATAAGAGCACATGTTAAAACATCAGCTGATGAAAGCATTCATGGATTGCTGAAATGACTGGTGTATAATGGCATTAGCAGACGATGTGTTATTCTGACTATTGTACTTTCTCTATTAGAAGCACATATATTTGCGAAATGGTCATTATAATATAATTTATTTTTACCACAAACACGGCTGGAATTTTCGGAAAGACATGTGTTACTATGAGAGCAGACACGGTTTTCATACTGGAAGAATTTGGTTAAAGTCAATTTTCTTTTGACAAAAAATAAAAAAATTGATGCATGTATATTTTGTGAATTAAGGACATTTATGATGAGTAAAAAAGCACTGTGCCAAACTAGTACCCCAGTAAAAACCACTATGACAGCCACTGTGACTCCCTAGTAACCCAACAAAGCCACTACTGTAACTGCCCATGGAGCTAAAAAAAGAAGGAGATCGAACAGATTGTAATCCTACTTGAGTCCTTTGTTTTAAGCTGATTAGTTTATTGTTCGCGTTTGCCTTTCATCTCCGTGATCGCGGCCGGCGTTAAACAATGAATAATTAATGAGCGTCCTCCTCGCATCAGTGACCTGAACTTTGAGAGCTGCGCAGTTGGTGCCGAAGTTCACCAAACATGCGCGATTTCCAATTTTAAGTTTTTCAGCAACCATGTTGGATGGTGACGTTCGAATCATGGAAATCGCACGATTAATGCGTCAGTTACAATAATTTTCGTTATTTTCTTACTGCGAAAACATCGTTCGAAAAAAATCGATTTTCTAGCGTGATATTAGGTCCCGGAAAATAATTCTTGGATAAAAAGAGAGTAGATTTCGCATACTTGTTGACAATGTGTAGATGACTTGTTACTTCGAGTGGCCAAACGCAGCGTCACACTTTCCATTTCCGCTTGTTGGTTCGTTTCCTGTTTATGTCTCCCGTGGGTCCTCATAGTTATTGCTGCACTCAGCTGAGCAACACGTTAAACTTGAGCTCTTGTCAATCTGTAATTTCTCGTGATAATCTTAACTCCGGTCGGTAAAAAACAGTTCAAACGAAAGGATTTCTGCTGTACATCATTTCTAGGTAGGTTACACGATTACTATTATATGGCCAAGTCTGCAATTCTCGTTTTACTTCGATGTATTTGTACACGAATTCGCCATCGTGTTTGTTTATGTCGAGTGCTAACATCCCCGGGGTTTCCTATTCGCCGCACTCGGTATAACGTGTTGACATCGCCGCCATTTTGAAATTGTGTTTATTTGTTGCATGCTCGGAAATTGCCGAAACTGTCCGACTGGAACCCGAACGCCCCTCATTAAATATTCATGGTTGTTTATTGGCTTAAAATTATCGGAACGCCGTGTTTGCTGAGTAAACAGCGGCAACGGTCATTTAAACAATAGCTTCAAAGGCAGTTCGATCTCCTTCTTTTTTTAGCTCCATGAACTGCCTAAGACCCCAGTGAAAGCAATTGTAATTTCCTAGGTTCCCAGTGAAAGCCACTGTAATTCCCTAGAACCATCCCTGTTACAAGAATTTTTTTCATAATAATTTCCCCAGATTGGCAAAGTTCATGAAAATTTGAATATCACCAAGTCAAATCAGTTTACAGTAAAGCTCACTCAGCAAAGTAACTTACGTTGATAGTCTTCATGTCACCGTCCAAGAAATTCTTCAATGGCTGCAGATAGTTATGGATACTAGTTGAGATGAGCTCTTTCTCTGCAACCCCAAGTTTCTGTTGAACTTGTCCACATTTGACGAGTGCTGCACCTATAGAGAATAATTATAATAATATTATTATATTTGATGATTTTAACTGGCACTCATTGGTAAGTTTAAAGGGTGGTATTCGCTGCGTCCTGTTCGATATGAGACTCAGCAGTATCATTTCTACATTTTGCTGCAGATCGTCATTATTTTAAAATTTAAAAGTTTTGCCAGTGACTAGGTGATCAAACACTGGCAGTTGTGGAACTCATGTAATTGAACGTATACAACAGTCATTTTACATTCATTGTTTATGTTTATTGCCAACACTTGGATGTGATGACCGCATTGACTGGAACTCAACAAACATGCTTACCATATGCAGTGCCGGGACCGATATCATTTCCAGCATCTACCATAGTTTGACCCAGAATCTCAGGATTCGTAACGCGGTCTGAACGTTTACGATCAACCTTTTCCATCACATAGTCCTCTATTCTGGCATCTAAAAAATAACAACAGACAAAACTCAAGTTTCATTCATGATTACTACTATGAGTAATTAATGTGTATTCAGAAGGTACCGGTATATTCAGGGGGGTTATAGTTACGAGGAAATACACGATACCAATACTTCACAAAGGATAGAACAATTCAACAATATATTGGGATCTTACTTGGATTTGGTTGGAGGACTGTCTCAGTCTGTTGAACAATTAATTCCGTCCACCTCCGGGTCCTCTCGGCCCTTTGCATGAGATTCTCGAAATGAGCATCGTATTCAGTTTTCTCAGCACTTCCAAGTTTTTCTTCGGTGTACTGCACGGTTGGAAAAACAACATAATGTTAACATGGTTTGTTTTGCATACTTTCTGGATATGCATTTGACCACAGTGCAACCAAGCGATGCCAAGTATCAGTAGTATAGACCATATTGTATATAGACCATATCCACATTCAATAAAGTATACATTTATTCCAACTGCTATTTGTATCTACTGGTAAGTGCTATTTGTATATGCAAATGAGTTACATATCCAAGCATGTCTGTATAATAAAAGTACTGATCACTTTTTAGAATTATAGTTTCATAAAATACAAGTTTATATTATTTCAATGTTAGTCTGACTTGAGTAACAATCACAGCATCCACATGGTTACGTGTCAACTTTGATTGAATGTAACACAACACACACGACTTGAATTGACATATTTGTTGGATGGTGCATGGTATGGCTGGGAATACAACAGATAGCAAAATCCCTTGATTTCCTGGGAATACAACAGATGGCAAAATCCCTTGATTTCCTGGGAGTCAAACAGATGTCATATATAGATCCATTTTGCAAAAATGGTCAAAAAAACGAGCACAATTGGTATGAGTACTCAAACATGTACACTCAAAATATTCATGTTCAGTGGACAGCATCTGTCATATTTTAAATGAAGAACAAGAATTGGGCCCTGGAACCAGCATTCCACCATTTTACATATACCAAGTAGAGGCAAAAATTCAAATATCTCATATTTGTAATTCTGTTTGTTTTTATGTGTAAGTTTTCTCTTGATGTTGACAGATTGAACATTGTCATCAAATACTTTTCTAAAATATAGCAGTTGCGGAACAACATCATACACATAGTAAATTGCACATGCATGGTTTACGGGTACTTGTTGATTTGACAATGCTTTGCTGAAGTGAACAAGTACAACCAATTTACTGGCATCACTTGCATGACCTGTTATACTCGTTTTTTTTTTTATGTTCATGACTATATTTTAGAAATAACTTACATTTAAGGTAGCAGAACAGTCTTTTAGGGCCGTTTTTTTGTGTTTTTTTTCAATTAAATAAAAATGGTATTTGTTATATGTACTGTCATATAACCTGTTAAAAAACTTTTTTTTCTATTAAAAAATGCATCTTTTTCTCCTATCATAACAAGAGCACAAGTTAATGTTTACCCTTGGCACCTGCACATGCGTCAGATGGCCATAGCGTGTCATTGTTTGCAAACAAGCGTCTACCAATGAGCCTTTACGTTTTTAGCGTGTGTTGTTATCGTCGCTTGGGAATCAATTCCCGCGTGTGCGCAGGTGACAACCCTCTCGCTTTAACTAAAACATCAACAGAAATATATAAATATATTTGCTGGATTTTATTTTCACTGAATCATTCCTTCAGTGAAAATAGCGAAAATAAAGTATTCTACAGTAGGTTTGATAGAGATTTTGGCCATTATTGTTCTTGCCGTCAACATCCTGCTACAAAACTCATTTTTCGATTTAGTATTAATATTTGCTAGTTAATATTCAGGTCTTAATAAAAACACTGTAACCATGGTACAGTATATTGGTAATTTATGCACAGTTAAACATTAGTCACATGGGGTATGTTGGCCAATCACAGCGATGTAATAATATAAAAATTTACATATATTTACTACTGTTGTGAATAATATGATGGCAATAAACTCAACTGACATAAATGCCAACTATATACATGTATAATAAAGCTATTAATTTTTTTTATTGACACCAGTCATGTGACAGTGGGTCCCCAGATATTTATAAACAGGTTTGCTGGTACCATATGGTCTTTCAAGTCACTGGGAGCTCAGCATTTTAGAGCCCCCTAGGATGCTGATTCTAAGAAATAGAGACAGCATCAGACTAACTTTCAGCTATATTTGCTGGACTGAGCAATGTCCAATGGTTTTTCACCAAAACCACAAAAACTGACAGCGCATCTTTTTTATTCAATAGCGAAAACATTTAAAACCAAGCCAAAAGGTGGCACACGTGTATCTCCATATAATATTTCTGATGGCAAGTACCTGCTGATTTAGCCACAGCGGATATTACTACAGTGTTTTATTTTATCCAATTTCCAACTTGTTTTAATAATGAATTTATCATTTTATTTTATTTTTTTGTATTTACCGGATGAAAAACACTACAACAGATTCCTAGAAAATTTAAATGTGCTACTGTAACATAAATTTCATAACAAGCCATAATTTTTTGAATATTTAATTTACATTCCTGCGCATATGATGACATGCTTTATAAATAATGATCATTTTCACAGAATAATTCATTAATGAGAAAAGTGACATAATTTATTGTAGCCAAACCTAAATAAAATTTGCCATTGACAACTAGCAAAGAATTGACACAAGCGCAGGTACCCCCACCCATTGTTCATTATTAGAGCTGCTTATGTATACGGGTAGAACAAACATTTTATACAGTGAGAGTTTAGAAATTGACAAATGGGCAAATATATGTACACGTGTATGTATAAGTGTAAACAAGTATTGGTTAATATATATTTATTCTTAAACCAAACTTGAATTTTGGCAATATACATTAACAAGAATCATTTTATAATGTAATATAGGCATTTAAAAAAAAAATATTTATGCATAATTATTAATTTGAATAATTAATAATTTATGTACGATTAATATGAATAATTAAATATTTATGCACAATTATTAATATGAATAATTATTTATGCACAATTATTAATATGAATAATTAATTATTTATGCATAATTATTAGTCTATAGAATAAATTATTTATGCATAATTATTAGTCTGTAGAATAAATTTTTCAAAAAATAAATTACTTGTTAAATATAATTCATGCTCTACAAAATTATATATTTATGAGTCATTGTAGATATGCGACACACCCTTTAACACCAAGATTGACGATAAGATCAAATGTGAATAGCAAGTCAAGCAGCTAGAGTAATGAGAACGTGATGAAGTTCCAACTTTGGAGACACATTCTCATGTACATTATTCTATACACATACTACTGAGTAAATAAATTGAGATTTGATTTAGAAATAAATTACTTTGTACAATGAACCATAATGCCACTGGTTTAATTCTCCAATCTATCCCTAATAAACTAACGAACGGTAGAGAACAGTGTAATTTATTCTGCTGAATCAATACATAGCAATCAAAATAGCAACAAAAAGGTCACACCATACTCAAAAGCTGGCAAATCATGTTTAACTATTTTGAATCACTCGTTCGGTCTTTTTAGAATAACTATTTTTTATATTAATGTTCCTAAAGTAAAAAATAAACTACCTTCCCTATTACGAAATGGAGTATGCACCCAACACATTACCCAACCCCATCCACTGAATACACATCGTCAGGAACCAAGAGAATATAATAATATTATCTCTAGTTTGTTTATGCTTTTCAATTAGTAACATCGCACAGATGGAGTGGGGATTTACGATCCAGTTCGGCTGTTACATACAATAATGCACTTCTTCATTGTCCAACTTTGCTAAATAAAACCCCCGAGATCATGTGATCGGGACAGAATATCATGTGATCAAGGCAGTAGATCATGTGATCAAGATAGGTTTGAATAAGTTTGTTCATTTTTTGATGATGGCAATTTAACATTTTGTATTTATACGATATTACGAGAAATTTCCCAACCAATATTTCACATGAAATAAATAAAAATAGTTTTTATTTTTTGTTTGTTACATAGGCGAATAAAGTAACTAAACTTTCAGGGTCACAAAAGGTCAGATGTAAATATACTGAGCACAAAATTATAAATAAAATTAAGATATGAAGAATAATTAAATAATACTACATACTTCAATAATACCAAGCCAGTATTTGATTAGAAATAGTAAAACAATGAAGCATTTTTTTATAATTAAAAAAAATATAATCATACAATACTGTAAGTTGGAAAATTTGAGAACTGTATCTGCTCTTTTATAAGTGCAAGTAGAACTAAAAAATAAACGCAAAAATACATTTATTGTATGTTGGACCATTGAAGCATCATATTTTGACCGCAGACTCACCTCTGTCATTCATTTATTTGTGTATGTGTGTTTTTAGCTTTTAGTACCATGATAGCAAATAAAGTACCGGGTATTGAACATTTTTCAAATTACGGTGCCTAAAAAGATAATACGAGTTAATCTTGGGAGTTGATATATTTAAACTTGGAAAACAGATTATGTGTTCCATATTTGTAACATATGGTGTCCAAAACAGGTTATAATAAATATTAACTTAGGGTGTTCAAAACAGGTTATAATAAATATTAACTTAGGGTGTCTAAAACAGGTAATATGTGATATGCGAGTCTAAGATGGTACACCCAAAGAGTTTTTTCTGATATTTGCTCTTGATTTGGCAATGACAGTGTAGCTCCTAATTTTGTTTCCATGACAACGACATAGTTGCAATGTACAATATGGTCATACCAAAGTACACATTAGAGCACACAGTTTGATATGCATATATGGACTTACAGAATTTGATGAATATTAATAATTATTAGTCCTGAGTTAAACATTGAAAGGAAACTATTAATCTGACAGGTACTATAGCATTGTGGTATTTTTCGCATGGTTATTTGAACCTAGACAATATCTGAATAGAATATGAACTCACTCCAAATGTATTTTTTTTTTCAATCATCCTTACATCAATGCATATCTTAATATAGATACAGATTTCACTTTTGAGTGCCAATAATTTTCCCGCCAAAACTTTTATACATTTTTCTATAATTTCTTTATTAATTTTGAACCAAATGGATGTAATACCTTACTCACTACAAATATGATCAAATTACGTGCATTCATTTTGTAAATGGTGACATAAGTTGACTACAATTATAGCGTCATTATACTTATTACTAATTTCTATTCTAGTCTATTCTATTCTATTCTATTCTATTCTATTCTATTCTATTCTATTCTATTCTATTTTATTCTATTCTATTCTATTCTATTCTATTCATTTAAAAATGTTCATTAAAACTCATTGATATGTAAATTAGCAAAAAACAGCATCAAAAGATCACATACCAGTCAAAGTGTATGTATAAATGTAATTAATACACATTTAGTAACACTAAAATTTATTGACATCATAACTGATGGAATAATCTGTTTCACTTATTACCTGGATAGTTCATTTCACATAGTACATGCATATTGTATTTAAATGAAGTTGCTGTAGTTGTGTCTGGACGTACATTACGTACACTACAAATATTTTCATATCGACAGTGGCAGTACTGTGAAAAAGCTATTCAGATTCAAACAGATATTCAAGGTAACGTTAACGACTTGCATGAATGGACATACACATGGATGGACAGAACCCAAAACATAAGTTGCCCTTGTGGGATTAACAAAAGTAGATCCAAAACAGTCACTGAAATTTGAGAAAATTTGGCAAGCATGAGTCAAAAAATAAGGCAGTTTATTTTACTTGTGTTATTTTTGTTTAATTCTGGAATATCATTATTATCTTGTTACATAACACGAATTATTTTGCCACATCACAACCTAATACCAGCTAATTATATTTTGTTTGTTTAACCATTTTATTTGTTTACTGTCATTTTTCCTGCAAAATGTTAGTGCAATATTTTGCAATATTTTTTATCTATGCTTTTTCAATTTTTTGGATTAATTAAACATAATTTGCATTTGCTAAAAAAACTTGATCTAAATTTTTAAAGATTAGGGGGTAAATTACTAAGCGTAATTATTTTGTGATATTTGCATTGAAAGTAGTTTTGAATTAGCAAAAATGGAAACAACAAATGTCAGTGAAAATTAATTAGCCTAGTCAAACATCTTTAGAAATACGACAATAAAAGAAGACAACAATATTCCAGAATATTATATTTTAGTCTGCTTCACGATTATGCGTTTTTTAGGAGTCATCCTAAAGCTTGATTTAACCATAGACCTTAATTCTAAGGTCTATGTTTTAACATGAAAAAATTTATGAATTTCGTGAATTCAAAATTTTTGTTTTTTGCTCAATGCACATAAAATAAAAAAGTTCCTGGATTTCCCTTGTTACACAACTTATTTTACATTTACATTTAATAGCAAAAACCAAATATTTGTTTTCCAATTGTTATTCTTTTCACTTATTTACAAAACAGGATGTCTACTATGTAATCAAACTATAAATATAATTTTATAGTCTACAAGGTGACATCATTTATTTAACTCGGTTTTATTAAATACACAATGGAGTACTGCAAAAGGTGTTGGAACACCACCTTTAATAAGGTTAATAAACTAAAGGTTATTAAATGATTGAAAATACTAGTAATTGAAAACCAACAGCAGGAATTTAGCATATATTTAACTCAAATACAACAGTATGTCTGAATTCACACAGAGCAGCCTGCAATTGTTCAAAACACAAATGATTTTACTATTATATTATAAACAAATTTAACCCTTTGAGTGCCAGATATTTTCCCTCCCGAAAATAAGTGCATATATATTCAACATTCTGTAAAATTTGGCCGTACAGACAAGTTCAGATATTGCTTTTAGTTTTTGATCAAAAGGTTTGTCAATTTTTATCGACATTTCATGCAGAGAAGACTGCATACAATATTTTTTTTTAGATGATGCCAAAAGTAGACAATTGCACTCAAATTGTTTTTAGAACCATGGGTAGAACAAAAATTCATAGTCAACATGATTATTACAATATTTACTATTCCTCACCAGTTAATAGATCTGTTTTTTTTAAATTAACTTTATTAAACAACCAGGTTCTGACTGTGCAAAGCAAGCTGTTGCAGGATAAACAAGACCCTAGTTATTTTCATTTGTTGTGCAGTTTGAATCGCTAACAAATTTGACAATTTCACTGATCAATCAAATTAGATAAGTGTCCACAGACAATTTTTAATGAGATATAGTCATATTATTATTGTACAACTGTTGATTATTCATTTAAAATCATGTCCACATTTAAGCGGCTTATGTAGCTTGTCACATAAAAACAATTATTCATCTTTAATGAAATTCTTTTGAAATATCTGCAATTGTATACAATTTTGACAAAAGCTGTTTCTTTAGCAGGGTTCCACTACTATTATTTATTTGTGAAACATTTATTATGACAATCCAACATAGGAATCCCATGCCAATTTATACATATTAGAAATAAAAAGTTTAGTGAACTAGTATGGGGATGAAATCTCAGAAAAATAGTGTAGTGATATTGAACCTCAAGAAAATAACAAATAAAAAGATGAATCAGTTTTACAAATAAAAGTTCAAACCAATTCACCTGCGAAAATTAGGTATTTAATAATTGTGTCAATCAACAGGAGATGTTTATCAATTAAAGATTGCATGTAAATTTGCAGCAATTTCAGATAAATATTAATTTGTAAATATTAACTGTAATATTAATTTGCAGTTTATTCCTGCTACCCCAATGTTGCTCTATAGACTGTCGCGTTACAGAGTTATAGCTCAAGTCACAGGCTGTTGTTTCCGTTCATTATTGTGCCACGCCCGTCTCCGCTTTCGTCAATATTAACGTATTAGTAAAATAATATGGATCTGCAATATCTGAAAAAATTGATTCAGGTCCTAAAAGTGATCGATCATTCTGAACGCAAAGCTAAGATGGAAAAATAAATGAGTCGACATCATGCCCGGAAACGTACGTCGTGGCAGTTTCGGTCATTATTTATGCGAGTTGATTCAACGTTTTAACCGATTTGTCATGTTTTATGCCAAAATGCAATTTTTGCGATACGCTGGATAGCATGTAGATAACACGTGCATTATTCATAGATTACAATCTTTAAGATTTACCTGCTTAGCTCTAGTAAACAGCGTACCAGCTTCAGCTGAAAATTTCTTGAATCCTTCCATGTTTAATTTCTCGATGAAAATGAGATCCTGCATATGATGTCACCACCTGAACCCCCTAGGTGATTGCTTTTTGAGCCCAATTTACGTTTCTACTCTTCTTGTATTTAATTAGTGTGTTTTTAATTTATTTAACATTATTTAACACACTTAAACAATATAAATTAATTATTGTTGTTTTTTATGATCACTTGAAATAAATATAAAAAATTTCATGACCTTTGACCACAGTCACCGGATCGTTGGCTAAGGCGGCAACATGACAGCACCAAACGTGGAAGTGTTGCATTCTGATAAAGTTATCGATATTGCCACAGCTTCGAATTACAAAGACTTCAAAGTGAGACATTTTCACTTGGATCTCGACGTGCGATTTGAGTCACAGACCATTGTTGGTGCTATAATTCTCGACATTGAAATTGACAGACCGTGTGTAGAAGGTAGGCGATCTGCTGCGATAACTTGCATGCAATAACTTGACTCGTTTGAAGCTGGCAGACACTCCCAGAAGACAGTGGAAGCTAGCAGACACACTAGCAGCCACAGTCTATCAGGCATAATATTGCTTTGAATCAAAGTTTATCACATCTTTTTGCATCACGTAATCACGTAATGGCTAATACTAGTATTCATTTAAACAGAGAAATTCTAACAAATGTACTCACTCCCCCTGAAAGTGTATCTCTATGTGCGTGTATATAAACACTATTCCCAATATTTTTTGGGAAATATTGAGTGTGCACCTTATCCACATATTTTTACTG